CATGCATCCATTTGCAAAATTCTATATAACAAAATTAAAAACATGGACACCTATGGAAAATGGCTTGGCACTAGCACTTAAACTCCAACCACTCCAAACAGTTTGCTGACTAATGCATTTCTAATCATTTCTGTGATCAATGTTAGCTACTGTGCAATAAGATTAATCAGCCATATGCAAAGCTCGGATCACCTTGAACATGGCAAGAAGAAAGAGAGAAAAAAAGGGAGATAAAAAAAAAGAAAGTGTCTTAGCTATTATGTATGATAAACACACCATACAGAAATAAAGTACACCTGCATTATTCACGTCTTTCATGCCGTTGGTTTTGTGTGTGTTTCAGCGGCATCACACCGTTGTGCTCCCCTCAGCTGTGCTTTGGCATCTGTGCGTGGCCATCTCACTGCTGAATAGCTGCCTGATTATTCCAAATCTAAGGGAATATTCAAACAAGGCCGATAATGCATTCTTCCATATGATTCTCCAGAGCTGGGACAGCTGTTCAGCAGCTTTCAATGCCATGTTCAGGAAGGGACAGATTTCTCTGCTAAATTAATAGGCCCCATTAAAAATCAGAGAGAAGTTTGACAAATGAAGCAGAGATTCAGTTTGTCGTAGGAAGGAGGCTACAAAATGACTATCTCGTATAGCTGATAAATAACTACACTTTAACCAAAATGATTGGGAAATTAATGTTTAACTCCATAATCTATAGCCACAGTGGATTTCAATGGCCATGTAGGCAAACTGGGCTGATGTATTGAATTTGCCTCAGGAAGAACACAAAGCCTGCACTATATGAGGAGTGTCGTTTACATCTCTGGACGATAACTGTCAGTGGCTTCGTCACGAATGCAGTTGTCCAAATCAAACAGATTACAGCCAGGTCAATTTCACAAACCCTGTCCAACAAAATGATAAAACTTTAATGACAAGAATTTGTCAGATGTATCAGACAGGAGGAGTTACTGGAGCTCAAGTGTCTCTTTGTTCGCTTCACTTTGGGCCACACAGTGGTTTGAGAATGCAGTGTAGCACTGCTATGCCCGAGCCTTGTAAAGTTTCAACTGGCAGATGAATACTTTTAGTCTGGCTTTCACCCCGTCTCCCTCTCTCTCTCTTTCTCTCTCTCTCTCTTTAGAACAACAAGGAGGTTGTCTGTCCAAGGGCACACCTGTAAGGTGCAGACCCTCGACAGGCTTACCTCAGTGGCCTCTCCTGCTGTACTCAAAAGGCAATTATTCCTCCCAGAAGATAGAGCACTGTCAACTTCAAACGGAGGACATTCTTTAGGCAGATTAGACTAAAATTATGTTTTATTATTTGGGCCCTGAAGAATGAATTGGACTCTATTTGGTCGTCTTTGTGGTGAAATCCAAGACAGTTTAAATGGCAGAGGTATGTTTGGAGTCAGGGTAATACTCCGGTGTCTTTATGAAAGGGCAACAGAGAGGATCAGATTAGAAGCTGAACAGCGAGAGTCTTTCAGTGCGGCTGTGCTATCATCTCTGTCTTCTTGTCCGTGCCTGTAGAGAGGTTAAATTAAATGGCTGTAATAAATGTTTTGGTCTTGCTGATGTGGTATGGCTGGCTATCAAACGAAAACACTGTGGAGAAACGGCATGGTGGAAGATCAGAGAGAGGAACAAATGGAGGGTGGGAGAACTATGTCAGCACATTACCAACATTAGAAACGGACTTGTTTTCACTTAAACCTCAATTATAATGGTGGCTCCAGAAACAATTATATTGATGAATGCTTTCTAAGTTACTGTAATTAAATTATTCCATTTAATTAACGAATTATATTGAATTTCTCCCCAGAGGACGGCATTAGCCTCATCTGCTGTTTTACAAACAGGAGTACTCTAATGTTGTGTGCTATGGAAATGATTACTAATGCCTAATGAAACTGTGTCAGATCAGATAAATGCTGTACAGAGTCAACAAGCCAAGCTTGTAACACAGCCAAACTTGAGACAAAATAATAAAGCCAAAGAAGAAAATTATTGATTGCATTTTTTCAAGGGCAGGCTTTGTGAAGCTGGCATCAAATAAATTATAATTCTGAGTGCCTGCCTGAGGTTTTAAATAGAATATAGAAAGTCAAACAGTGTATTAAGAAGGCTTTTTAAAATAATTATCTTTGTATCAATACATATATGAATATTTTATCATATAATAAATATAATCTGTTTTAAATGTACTTGTATGCGTCTTTAAAAACACAGACAACAAAATTTTAATTTGAAAACTAACAGCAGTAAATCAAAGTGTCCGTTTATTGCGTAAAAAAACATCTCATTGCTGTTTCCACTCACTGGCTATAGACGGTAATTATACACAATATAAAACTGGAGTGCATGACAGTCTTAGTTTGATGGTTCAGCAGTGCAAAGCTACAGTACGTAAATGCACAAATGAAGTTCAACTGCAGCTGACCATTGCCCTCTGGTGGGAATGCCAAGCACCTGCTTGAAGACAGACTAAATATAGAGCACACGTAAGATTTGTTTGTATTTCTTGTGTCACACTAAATGTCATAACATTCAAGATAACTCACAGACGAACAAAGACGGGACAGCTGTGCTCAGATACACACTGTTAGTCATAAGAATTTCCCAAACAAAACATACCAAATAATACGATCTGATCACTGCAAGTTTTTTTATCCTTTCAAAATAATAAAAAAAAAACAACACGCAGTGCTTACAGTAGCAATGTGCTGCATGTGTTTATTGTCCTGTGCCCCCTTGGGTTGGCCATATTAGTCCATGTGAGAGCGGAGAGGAGTTGTGATGCTGTAAGCACATACCATGCATTCTCTCTCCTCCGCTGTGCAGTTGTTGGGCATATTGTGAGGTTTTAATACAGGGGATATGGAGGAGGGCTCGGCTCACATTCGCTGTACAGGAAGAGCCACGGCCAAGAATGACAGTTGCTCCTCTTGGAGCTGAGACATCCATGGATTTAAATTGCACTTTGAAAGGTCAGCACATGACAGGCAATCAGTCAGCTCCTAATTGGATGATCAGCAGTCATTTGAATATGTTTCAGATTTTTTTATTGCATCATGAAAAAATATGAATATGTGAACATTTTCCTTGTGTAGACTCATTAATCAATAACATCAGCAGTTTTAAGATTTAGATTGCATGGCATCCTTAATAATGATAATTCTAATGATAATAATAAAAAGATTAATAATTTCAAAATACTATCAAAATAAGAAACAGAAACAAAATAATATCCAATTATAATGATAACTTTTATTTTGACATAATTTTTCAAAAATAACAAAGTGATTTACTGGAAAACAAGTGTAATACAGTAACAGAGGGTTAAAAAAATTAATGAAATTAAAACTACAAGAGGTAAAATGTGATGATAAACAAATTACTGTGAGATAGCAGAAGGCCATGAGATAAAATTAGTTTTCAGGGGGGATTTATAAGAGGAAAAAGACTTTGCATAAGATCCTGTGTCATTTCACAGCTTCACGGCTAAAGATAGCACTGAGTGAATATGAATTTTCAATGTAAAATGGTAGAATGTTATTTTATACAGGCTGTATAAACATTTTTTTTCCAGCATCTTTAGGTTTCACATATGACCTTATCTAACCTCAGAGATATTCACATCTGAAACATGTTCAGTCAAGCCTGCAGCGGGTGCAGTTACAGTATTTAATAAGAGGACAAACAGTGCCTGAAGAAAAACACAGATGGGAGTGGCAGTAAATGTCACATTTAAAAAAACATCTCTGCACACACTCGTTTTTTTTTGTTTGTTTCTTATGGTGAAATGCTGCTTAGCCTCCACATCCATGCCAATGTTGTGTCATACCTGTGTTTCCAGTTCCAGCATGTTGCACTGGCACCATCACTGACATGGGCTAATACTTCATACACCTGTGTGGGAAAAAAATCGTCAATTCAATTCTGTTTTGTTAAGCTGATGTATAAAGCTGCTGTCACTGTGATCTCATGAGGGCTCCAGGTTGGATTACTGTTTCCTTTTCATTGCTTAGCCAAAAATCTGGAGAATACCTGAGGATATAAGGAACAAAAAAGGGGGCAAATAAAAACATCAAGTCAAAAGGTAAGTAAGACGTCAAATAAGTACAAAATGAATGCAGCTTTGGCAGCTCGCTTTGGTTTGTTGTAGGAGAAAAGTTCAAACTAGTGCAGGCAGCTTCTGAACATATAATCACTGTTGATTGTACGTGTGACACACTATGTTTTTTGTGTGAGATGCTGGGCTATTTTTTGATGGAAACATCTACTGCCAGTATATGTGTGTGTGCAGGCTTCACTGCTGGCTCAGGAATGTTGGCATCAAGTATGCAGTCCTGACAGACAGCTGCACTGCAGTGGCGTTTTTAACATGCCAGACCAGGACCCAAGTGTGCTGGAGGCTCAAAGAAAATCAGAAACTGCATCTAAAGATGATAGGAATACTAACTTGATCCACTGTGGGTGAAACGAGGAGAGCTCATCGCTTTTAATTTATCCATAGAAAGTCTTAAAGGTCAGAAAGGACTGAACCCCCCTTAAAATACAATGGAAAAAAAACACTAAACTTACACTTTTATCTCTGCTCTTCTATGGTCCTTAAAAGTTTAAAGAGGTTTGTTTCCAGTTTGAACAAATCACAAGTCATACAAAAGTTAAACAAGGTACACAGGCCTGTTCAACATGACCCTGATGACTCACTTTATTTTGAAATCTGCCAATAAACCTCTCATTTATGGACACAAACACCTGACACGTTCATCCTCCTCGATTTGCCTCTTTAACCCCACGTGTTTGGTGATATTTTCCATTTCTTCCTCATCCATTTCAGCTTATCATACAACCACAGTATTCATTACACTAGGTGTATCCCGATCGCCCGGTTGTCCTGTTTATTATTTTGTACATGTTCAGCCCCGCCCTGCAGACGCGCTGATACCACGCAGTTGCGTAATTTGACAAGCCAGCGCAAAAAAGGGGAGAATGAGCGTTTGACAGCCGCTGCTTTGCCTGTGCAGATTGTGTCGAAACAAAACAAAAAATAATAATTACCTATGCTGAATTTATTTGTGAAAGATTTCGGATAGTTAGACAGTTACCTCTGCTTTTATGGCCGCTGCCGTAAGGAATAATGTTTGGGTTGCTCCGGGGCAGGACGCGCAGTTTCTCCAGAAAACCACCGCACCACTGGCAGCCGACGGTCTGAGAGGTGAAGATCATGGACAAGTGCTCTGTAACACGAGGGATGCCATCCCGGGAACTTCATCTTATCATGATTACAATTTGGTAGGGGATTGCATTTTTTTTTTTCTTCTGCATCTGCCTCGGAGCATCAGTGTTTACTGATGCCCGCTGGTTTGACGTAGAAAGGTTGCATGTTGCTGATCAAAAGCAAAAAAAGAAAACAACCAAAAAACAGACTGTTTTCATTTATAGATATAAGCCTAATATTGACGGTAGGGCCTGTGTGTTTACTCGTTGTAATATTTACGGCTGCCGCCGCCGCCCCCCCCCATCCCGTGACGGAAATTGTGAGCTTTGAATGTCTGTATTGATGCTGACATTCACTGACTGGGCTGAATCGAAAGCGGGGCATGGCTGGGATGTGAAACGTTGCACCCTGCTCCCGAAAACTTGCGAGGAAGAGATGCATAGCGCTGCAGAGCAACTGGATGTTCTAATTTCAGCCATGTATTTCCAAACAGCTCAGGCTGCTGCGTTTCAGAAGGGGTGTCTGCTGCTTGTAAAAGGAGGGGTGTATGTGAGTGTGTGTGTGTGTGTGTGTGTGTGTGTGTGTGTGTGTGTGAAGGGGGGGGGCGTCTTTGATGTGGCAGTGTGTAGACACCAAGTGCAGGCCCCAAATGCATCCACAAATATAGTCACAGTAGCTTGTTTTGTGAGTCTTTTGATTCTTCAGCATCAGTCGAAACTGGTGTGTTTGGAGGGGGCGGGGGGTGCTCATGGTTTTACATTAAGCAGCAGATCTTTTTTTTTTTTTTTTTTAAAGGGTCCTGGAATTATTATTTTTACAAGGAGAAGTAAAGGACCAGTGAGGCGTTGACAAATTCAGTGCTGACTCTAAATCCAAATCTTGCTGCCTTCACAACATCAAAAGTTAAAGGGAAAAATATCTCAGAATGAGGCTCTTTCAAGAACCCATGTGAGAGCCTGAATCCATCACTAGACACTTGTGTTTTTTTAATAACACTTGTGTTTTGATTAACAGACACAACTAAACCATGGCTGACCTGATCATTTCCTTTGCTTTTGTTTTCCAGGGGAAATCAGAGATGGACAGCTACCTGTCTCCCCACCCACAGGACATAGTAAATTCCAAAATGTTGTGCAGGGATGGCGCTCTGATGCTCGAGCCGCCCTTCAGCGAGGACTTTGCCTCCCCTTACAGCGTCAACATGAGCCTGCTCCTTCCTGACGTCACGTACCTGCACCCAGGCCTCTGCAGGACTATGAGGCAGATTAAAACAGAGCCGTCACACTCCCTGATGCACCCCACCTGTCAGGGCAACGGAGTGCCACCGACACTCCCAGGTGTTTTTAGCGCAGCTGATACAGCAAGTGGTAACTTTTTCATCAAGCAGGAAGTGGCAGATTTCCAGGATGTTCCCCTGTTTCAGCTTTTGAACTCTGATTTGGAGCAGCTCGTTCACGGGTCGCAGCTGAACTCCATCCCCATGGTCCCGTTAAGTCTTCCAAATGGGAACGTCCATGTAGGCTCAGTGCAGAATTCTGCTAAACACACAAGCGGTCCTCACGGTGAATGTTTTCAGTTTAATCAACACTTAGGCCATCAGCAGAGACCTACCTATTTGCCACCTTCTCCGCCAAACTCCGAGCCCCCAAGTCCAGACAGGGGGAAGGAGCTCCTTAGCAATCTGTCCCCACCTCCCTCCTATGAAGCCAGCATCGCCTCTAAGTTAACTTTTCAGACCCATAATCCCATCGATCCAGGACAGACCTCCAGTTTAGCTTCAATCCAAAGTGCAGACCAAAATTCCAGTGTTGGATTCGTCCAAAGTCCAGGTGCTGGACCAGTCCAGCACTCAAGCCTGACACCAGTTCCAACGACACCGGGTGTTGGCCCGCTGTCCCCAGAGTTGGCCCAGTCAGCTTCAGTCAAGTACAATCGAAGGAATAATCCTGATCTGGAGAGACGGCGGATTCACCACTGTGATGTCCCAGGTGAGTCCTCTGGTCTTTTGCAGCATTAAAAACTGAAATGTTCCTTTTTAAAACATAACATTACAAGTTCTTAATGAGCTCTCCTTTTTGTTTTTTGTAGGATGCAAGAAAGTATACACCAAGTCTTCTCATTTAAAAGCCCATCTACGGACCCATACAGGTAAAGTGTTTGGAGTTGCATTCTTATTTTGGGGTGAAAGTGGTGATGTTGCCAGGCAGAAAAATGCACTTGGCATGCAGATGCATTCTGTCTGCTGACAGACCTGGCCCACATCTCACTGCTGTCAAATCACATAAACCCTGCAGCTCTCATAAAGGGGGCAGGGAGAAAGACAGGACACGCTGTGATTTATGGCTCACAGTTGAGGCGTGGTATCAGTTTTTTCATCATCAAAACTCCTTCATTAGTCTTTTGAGATATGAAGAAAAATATTCTGTACTTTCAAGGGAAATGTATCTCAACATGTGCTGTTTTTTTGTTGTTTTTTTTCACTGAAGGAGAGAAGCCTTACCGGTGCTCGTGGGAGGGATGTGAGTGGCGCTTCGCTCGTTCTGATGAGCTGACTCGCCATTTCAGGAAACACACGGGGGCAAAGCCTTTCCAGTGTGGAGTATGTAACCGCTGTTTCTCCCGCTCCGACCACCTGGCCCTCCACATGAAGAGACACCAGCGCTAGAGACACCCCCTCCTGCAAACCAAGTCAAATCAAATCTTTTTTTTTTATTTCTCAGTAAACAAGGACAAAGAACTGGCACTTACATATCAGCAAACTGACAAATGAAAAACTGGTGGATTATTCCTCTCATTTCCCAGTGGAGATATTCTTAGCAGTGCTGGCCCACATGTCATTGTTTCTTTTATTGTAAAAAGATTAAATATTACTGTTGCCTTATTTTATTTCCACGTGTGTGCCCATTTTCATAAGGTGTCAGTCTAAAAAATCATTAGCCAAATGTAATGATGGAATTATATTAAATCTTTTTAAAGCCTTTATTTTCATTAGATTATGAACAACTTTTCAGGAAACAATTCTCATTTCAGTTTTGTCACTGTACCGATTCTATCTGTGTCATATGGGCATTTATTTAATGAACTCCAATAGCAAACTGCCATACTGTAAGTGTTGAGGTAGATGGAGCATTGTTACGAACTGGGAGATCAAAGCATGTGTTGTTTTGGCCGGAGGGTGTGTAATATAAAAAGTAACACATCAGTTAGTTAAAGTTGTACTGAGAACAAGTTGTGGATTTCATAAAAGGCACAGCAGGAAGATGTGAGGAGTAAGTGAATACTGGGACGAGCACTGTCTGCAAGCTGGTGAGGCATGTGGTGAGCGCAGTGCTTGCAAGCTGACTTTAACACTGCCAGAGTTATTGAACACTTTGTCACTGAGGGTAACTTGACTCAAAGCAAAACAAAATCTGTATTTACCTGAAATAAAGGGGAGATAATGGTTATCAGATATTAATCATATTCATTTGGAATGCATTGTCAACGTTCTGTATCTGTGCTCTTATAACTTAACACATACGTGGACATTACAGAAAGTGTTCAATGCTTTTAGGCAGAGATAAATCTAAATGGTGGATTTTTCTTTCATGATCAATACATGGATTTTATTGAATTACTGAAAAGATTTAACGTATTTTGATGGGAGTTGTTTTACCCCATGTTAACTTCAGCCACTTCAGGCATACAGTTTTGAATACGTGGGATTTCAGCAGTAGATCAGCGTTATTTTCTTTCCCCTGGAAGTTGATATGTTTGACGAGCTGATGTTCGCTCATCTTGATTTTATTTCGGTTGCAAATCATGTGTCCCAGCATTAGATATTTTGCTCTGCTCACAACAGGATTACAACATCACATCACTGATGATCTGTCTTCCTCAGTGGTTTCAAAGCGGTGTCTCTGAGTTTGGGATTCTTTTATTTTTTTTTTAGACTTAGATTGAGCACCTGCCAGTCTGAACGTCTGTGAAAGCTTTTGGTTTCTTTGACTACTCTCCATCTATTCAAACACCGTTTCAAAGTGCCTTTAACTGCTTTTTTTTTTTTCTTTTTTTTTTTGGATGAATGAAAAACAAAGCTGCCCCTTTGGGACAATGTTCTTTTATCAGGTACTCTCTGCCAAGATGCTGTATGTTGGCTGCCCCTCCTCATTTTCACAATACATTAATTTCTATTTATGACCAAATTTATTCATAATTTGAGTCTGGCTGAGCAAAATTGATTTTTGAAGTTTCTATAATTTGTTAAGATGTATATATTTTGTGTCTGCTGTTTGAGGATACAATCCATTGATTGTTTTTGGGTGTATAAAGATTTTAAACTTTGTTTTAAATTGCAGAGACTGTTTATTTTTTATTTCTTGGCAAAGTCTGAGATGGATCAAATTATTGAATTGAATATTGCCACAGTCCGAAGCTGTCATCACTTTCTCCAGCCAAGGTAGCAGCTCAGTGGAGTATGTGCCAGTGAATTATTGCAATACTTTTAAAAAATACACAGTATATACATGAAATATTTTGACATGGTTGATACACATGAGAAGTGTTCGGATATTTTATGTCTTAGCTTCATAAAATGAAGATGTAACCTGAATTGATAAATAAAAAAATGTGCTATGAAGCCATGTAACTCTCATAATGCAAATAAAGGTTTTGTGTTGAATATTATAAATTATGTTGAATATTTTAAAATGTCTGACTTTTAAAATGTTACAGAATATTGTTTCCAGGTTAAAATTCCACATTTAAAAAAAAAAAAAAGATTCAGCTGTTAAATTCAGCACAGTGGGGATCTCACACCTTTACAGTATTTTAATATATCTATTCATACACAATATCTTATTGTTAAAGGTGAACCTAGATCGTATTGTTGGAGAGCAGGTCATATCAGAAGTTGACATTTTCAGATGTCAGAGCACTGACATCAAGCCTTTTGATTTTCAGTTAAAGTTTAAAGTTGAGTGAAAAGATTAATCAAAAGCGATTTTGTTATTACAGATGCTCGTTTTAAAAAAAAAAAAAAAAAAGCATTGGTAGACCACAACTTGTCAAGAAAAAAACAAGTATGGAACAGATATTTTAGTGGAACATTTGCAAAATTTGGCTGTTTTAAAATCAAAACTGCTCCACACATTTTCATTCACACGTCACATTTCTCAGCGTTAATAATAATCTTGACTGTGCAAATTCTTTTTTGCTCTTCCTGGAACAGCAACATGTGATTTGCAGTTATTCTGTAATTGTTCAGGAGCACGCCCTTCATGCAGTTGTATACTTAATATCGAATACTAACAATTCAGTGTAATTAAAACAAGACGACTTCTTTCTCTTCTTTTTTCTCTTTTAATTCTCGGTATATCATCCTTGATGTGAGTCACAGCAAAAAGTGCTGACACAAGGCGCCAAGAGAAACTGTACAAACCAGAGAAGATGTCTGAGCTTGTCCTGGTGCAGAGGAAGTTCCCAGTGTGGATTATTATACTATCGCTCTTATTAGCTTTAGCTTCTTCTCACTGTACTGTACTTGACTTGTACAGTATAGTTTGCACAACATAGGCTGTTGTGAGTGATAAATCACTCATGTGATATATGTGCACACCAAAATGCTTAGCAGAGTGGGAATTGAAACCTTGTTATTGTAATCATTGGAATCCTTTACTGGCAGACAGAAACATTCATCCAGATCCATTTATAATAGAGCACCGTACAGGATGTACTGGGCGTTTTCTTTCAAGTGCAACCTGTTCTCACAAAGTCTATACACTACATGCTATGTTAAAACTCCACTCCACTCTCTGATGGTAGTAACAATAAACAATGTAGGTTACACAGATCTACATGATGCTTTTCTTGGATGTTTAAACATTTGTGAAACCAAACCAAAGATTTTCAATACATTTAACAAGATGATATAATAATCAGTGTTTGAAATGGGAAAAAAGTGCCTGGAATGAATTAGTTGCTGTCCTCATCTGTGAACTGATGCTCTTAAATTTAATAGTTTTATCATATATTAATATCACCATATAGCATGTTTTACCCCTTCCCTTTTAAAATGTAACATGTTTACTCAGATACATTTTAACTGACGTACGTTGTACTTTTACTTTTTAACTTTTATCTTTTTACACAGTGATTTTACTTCTACTTTAGTAAAATGTCTTTTCAGTAACAGTAGTTAGTGACCTTTCACTTGCTTATGTGCTTCAGTCAGTGTAGTGTCTTATCTCCAGTCAATTTCTGTTACTGACAGCGCTTATTGCTGCTCTGTCTGAAAACAGTTAATGGTGCCGTTTTCTTCCTCACAGGGACTCACTACCTGCTGTGCATTTAAACTTACACTAGTTCTGCTCCAGCACTCACAGCTCTCTGCTCCTTTTAGCGACTTTCACCGAGTTGTTTAGACGCTATTCAGATGCTAGTTACTTTAGCTTAGCAGTTAGCGATAGCTTCTCTCTCTCTCTCTTGCTCGGTGTGTCTTGAACCAACAGATTAACTTGTTCATCAGAGTGTGGTGTTGTTGTAACTTCAGTGTAGAGGATTGTGATGTTTATTACAACTTCAGTGATGTCTGCTGTCTTACCTTCGACAAACAGCTCCGCTGTTCACGAAACTGCTCTAGTCTGTGACCGTCTGCGTACACAGTAGCCTTCAGTGTGATAGGCTATTATTCGTGACGTGTAACCAATCAGATGGTGCTGTGGGCGGGACACCGCGGCACAAGTTTGTTGAGTTTACTGTCTTTTCTCCTGACAAGTTTTTTACAAAAACGAATCGCCCAGATCCTGAAATGGAGAGGGCAGAAGAGTACTGGCAGCTAGTGAGAAGTGCTGGGAAGAAAGAAAAAGTAACGGTAGCCTACAAGAGTAACATAAAGAAGTGCCGGTATTGCGTACTAGTGCATACCAGCCCACTTCAAGCACTGATAATAATAAGTCTACGGTTGTACCATTTTTTTTCTTCCTGTAGTGATCAGATGTACTCTGTGTACTGTATATCAGCTATCATTTAAAATGGCTTCCCTAATACCAAGATTAGGTTTCTGAATGCCAGTGAATGTGAGTACAGTGCTCAGATGTCTCAGTGACATCGAAACCACATACCATCCATCTCAGTCATAGATAGCAACTAGTTCCATACCAGTGCGTTACATACAAAATGCAACTTTATTAACCTTCATGCCTCCATTCATATTAATATACATGTATATGTTTGAACTTATTTTAATTTCACAGCTCCATCCATATGAAAAATACAGAGAAAAAGGCAAAAACACTGACTGGATACTTAAACAACTCTTGGAGAAAAGAAAAGCGTAACAGAAAAAAGAAAGGACACCTGTTCTTGGAGTTTTGAAAAATATCAGGATTAAAAATCTTCTTTTACAGATGTGGATTTCCATGAGCAGAATCTCCCTTTTGAAGCGATGCTGAGCAATATCACAATTTTTTTTTTTTTTAACGGCAAGAATGGAAAGATCTGAATATATTTACACTACACTCACTTTACATAAATACAGGAACAACGATTACTGTACGTAATATCAGCAAACTTGAAACATATGCATTGGTTTCACTACTTAAATTTTTCAAAACCAGGAAATCAAAAGCAGATGTTACACAGAAAGTAAAATAGATATTGAACTGATACAAAGTGTAAGATCAGTATTCATAAACAAAGGCATCACTCTGGAATCCCAGCCACTGGATTTTTTTTTCTCTCCTATGAATAAGATTCCTCATTATCTTCCATGGAATCACTATGTTGATTTAATGTGCTGAAGCTGAAACATCAAGAGGCCTTTGTAACTCAGTTTTGCTCCCCTTAGAGGAAGTGACTTATTGCGAGCAAAGTAATAATGCAGTGCGTGCTATGAACAGCCCGTGAACGTGTAATGGGAGGATGCTGCATTTGACACAATGGCATAAGGCTCAGTGCGAATAAAGAAAGCGAAACATTAGAGGTCCGACTTGCATAATGTTGTCTGTGCTTTTTCCAAAAGAAAATTCATGATTTCTCATTTAAAATTTATTAATTTGAGCACACATGCTGAAATTGAAACTCCTGCAAAGAGCAGTTGGTATTACAAGTGTGTGATATGAGGCACTATTCATTATTATTGCATAACTTTGACCCTGGTTACCGTTACAAAATTATGCTTTTAAAACGAGGAAAGAGACGCTGGAGGGAAATACAATTCACCCTGTCCTGTGGAGACACCACCTTCAAGTCTAATTGAATTTTTTGAAAAACGGTTGTATTAAGGCATGCAACGTCATATACTGGATAGGAGAGTACATGTGTTGTTGATATGTGCTTGAATCAATAGATTTTTTTTTTTTTTGTCCGGGTATAGCAAAATAGCAACACAGGGAATCGAGTACCTTAATATGGTCAATGTACTGTATATAAATAATTTGTTGATTATAGCAAACACTGGTTCAGCCTTAGGAATAAAAATGATTTGATCATGAACTTAGTTGACCACAAACCAAAAAAAAAGCAAACCGTTATATAACACCACATATGATAATTTACATGATGAATACCATTAGCCCCATTTCACTGTATATCAAATTAGATAAATTACAGTCTCTGAAAAAGACTTTACATGTATAAATGTATTTCCTGCATCTACTAATCAAAAGCCCTATTTTTCCAATGTATATACAGGCTGTAGAACTTTGTAATAAGTTTTTATCTTCACTATCACATATATTACAACATTTCAAAAGATCCTTTTTACAGAAGAAAAAGAGTTATATGCAATGACGAAGTGCCCCCTCAATCATAAAATGATCTTATACATTATATGGATGATAAAATACGATGATGATTATTTGTTTATAAATCGACATCTGAAATAAAATAATTTGAAAAAAAAAATCATACTAATAAACAAACAAGGTGCTGATATGCTTTTGCCAAAATGTTAATACAAACTGGGCATAATGATGCTGTGCACAAACAATATACATAAATAATGATAACAGACATTACCATCCTCCATTACATTAAAAAGGGGGGGGTGTCACATACATTGTGTGGAAATGACTTCCTGGATTTGGCTACTTTACTGAAAGTGAGGGTGTTCGATGCAAGTGCAGGTGTGTGTGTGTGTGCATGAGAGTGTGTTGTATGTGTGTAAGTGTATGGTTTTCAAGGTGCTATTATCAAAAAGGTTACCATTTCTTTTTACTGGCTTCGGTCCAATAAATACATTTAGCAGCACTATCAAATGATATGGGTTGGCCTGATGCTCTCAAGTTTATGTCTGCAGCTCTTTCTCAGCATAAGAGCGCTGGAAACACCTGCAAAAAAAGTCTTGTTATTATGAGTATAAAAATATTATTTTTAATTAAGCTTCCTGATTAAGGTTAAGTGATGTTCTATAAGAGACATATCTGCCAGTAACTGCATTTAAAATGTAGCCGTAGTGCACATACATAATGTATTTATTTATGTGCATGTGTATGTATTTTTTTATGTATGTCATATGTATGCATGCATATGTGACTCCTCTGTTTTTCAGTATTTTATGTAGCCAAATCTCAGGTACATCAGATAATAATCTTAACATATATCTGGTCTGAGGTGATAACATTTCAAGTGACTTTCTGTATTTGAGACAAACAAAATAAAACAAAATAAAATTAAATGATTTTATAGTAACTCAGTAACTGAGACACATCAGATTCGTGCTGGAGCTACAAACCAAATCGGTAACACAGGGGAGTCATGGTACTGAGCGAGGAGTTGGCCTGGCTAGAAACCTCTCCTCGGATATTGACATCAGCAAACAGAACAAAGAGGAGGTGGACGTTCCTTCTCATTCCTTTGTTCAGAATGTATTGCTCTTCGGTATTGTACATCAGGTACCACGCTATCCCTGTAACACTGCAGCCGGTGTCAATGTCAGCTTATGGTCAAGTGCTGCTGTGCAAAACCACCAACACAAATTCCTTTCACTGTCAAAACCCAGCTGAGAAAACAGAGCTGAATAATAACAACAGATAGATCAGGACAGAATGAAAGCATGAGTCTGTAAGGTGCCTCTATTCTTTTTTTTTTTTTTTCACATACTGAAAATCTCCTCTGATTGTTTCAAAGTTCACTGTACATGAGGGGTTGTATTTTTCTGAGTCAAACATAGGCAATAAGCAGGCATTAAAAAAAGAAAAAAAAGAAAAAAAAAAAGCAAGATTCAATAAACAAAACGAACGTTGTCATACTGAAAGTATATTTATCCTTTAAGATTGCACTTTACTGATTGCTAATCACAGCACAAAATCAACCAAAGATTTCAAGAGGCTCAACATAAAGAATAGCACTGATGTTATTTGGGGTAATCCGGCCCTGTGAGTAAGTCATAAATGGTGTGTTTCCTTGCTGGTGGGATGATATGCACGTCCATTTTTTTTTTTTCCATCGTTTGAAACGAAGCAATGAATATCTGAAACAGTGGAGGTGTTGATGAGGTTGATCCATTCAGGTTGTGGCTATTTTGAGTCATGCTGTATTATTGTTTGCTGGCTATGGGAAAAAAAGGTGAAAGTCCAGCCCTCTTTTAGCTTTTTAAAATGGGATGCCTCTAACAAAACAGCAGACTCCAGCGGGAAAAGGAAACCATCCGTGATGAAATGGCGCCCTCTGCTGGTCATAAGTCAGACTCACAGGGAGGCACGGCGAATCAATACTGCCTGTAACTCCAACTAGGCCCAAAATCGTTTCCTGTGATCCAGTCCAGGCCTAACTTCTTTCTGCTCACACAGAAAAATCCATTCCATACAACGGGATCTTTCACATTATGAATGCTGGAAAAGCAGCCGTTTGAACAATAATGAAAAGAAAGATACTAAAAATGAGACAGTTGCGATTGCATTATATATATTTTTTTGTCCAAATGAAGAGTGCGAGTTCATTTTAAAAATCAAAAGTGAAACATTTATGAACAGTGCTGTAAAATACAGTTCCCTATTATACTCCAAACAATGACAATAAAAGATCCTGCCGTCTATTCCTTCCAACCCAAAGAGGATCCAGAAGTGACCCTGTTTTGTGCTCCACAAGCTCTGTGCACCACTACATCTTCTCTCCTTATGACGGATGAGAGTGTGTGTATGTATGTGTATGTGTGTGTGTGTGTGTCTGTGTGTGTGTGTGTGCGTGTATGTTTGTGTACGTGTGTGCACATCCAGGCCAGCTGAAAAACATTCATAGGGAGATCCCGCTCCCCCGGCTGCCTGTGTGTGTGTGTGTGTGTGTGTGTGTGTCTGTGTGTGTGTGTGTGTGTGTGTGTGTGTGTGTGTGTGTGTGTGTGTGTGTTTGTGTGTGTGCGTGTGTATGTGTTTGTTCCGTTTCATCTCTCTCTCTTTCTCTTTATCTCTCTCCATCTGATTCACACCAGCATATGTCTCCGTCGGTGCAGAGCCAAGTGGTCAGATCTGGAGAAGCTGCGGTCACAGTCTGCACACTTGAAGGGCTTGACCCCCGTGTGTTTTCTGTAATGCCTCGTCAGCTCGTCAGAGCGAGCAAACTTCCACGTGCAGCCGTCCCAGGTGCATTTGTATGGCCTTTCCCCTGGAGAGGAGAGAGAGAGAGAGAGAGAAAACACAGGGCACGTTCAGCAGATTGTAGATCACATGGTCAGAACTGTCACTGGCATAGTTTGGCCTTGGTGCTTTGTAAATTATGATATGTTGGTAAGTGTGTGTGTGTGTGTGTGAGAAAGTTTCTATAATGTTTGCCAGTTAGCAGACTTGAAACTTGCTTAAGTTGCATGATCCACCTCCACAAACATCAAGTGTGCATTCATTTTTGTAAGTGTTACATTATCGTTGCGTAGAAACGTCGTTAAGGTGCAGATTGATTTGAAACGTCTGCATTTGTTGCCACCATAACAGTAATGACACTACCTTGTTGTCCAACTCAAGGAAGTTTGAAGAATCTGCTAATACATATACATATTTTATGAAACCATTGGGATGTCTGGAATGGTACAAGAAATGCATTCAGATTTCTAAAGCGGCAGCAGGGTTTCCAAAGTGGTTAGCTGTATTGTAAATTTAAAAAAGTTAATATTTCATCATATACAGTTTTAAAGTATAGTTGTACTGGTCATCTTTTTAATCAAGACTGTAACTCAATTTCCTCTGTGCTGTTAGCTTCCACTTTAAATGTCTAGTATGTATAATTGTTTTAAAATGGGATGTGGTAAACAAATAGCATAATGGTTGTATCAATACCAGCATACACCTTTTGCTTAGAGCAGAGAATGAGCCATCACGGAAGCCTTAAGGCCGCCATAACCGCAGTCTCCCATGGTTACTAACTGTTACAGACAGTCTCAAGATATTCATAAGGAAATGAGAGAATAAACAGTCATGGGGAACTGAGAATTTTGACCGACTAAAGTATAATCACACTTGATGCCTTAAGGCTGTTCTTATAAGACATCAGGGTACGCTATTAAATGCATTCAACAACTCTTATAAAGCATTATGCATTGTAATACATTATGTATTTTAGATATGCAGTTTTCTGCCTATTTGGATTCCCATCTGGTTTTGGAGCTTTGGATGACTGACCTTTGTTTCCCACTCATGATACATGAAAAATATGTCAATCTATGAACATTTTGTCCTGCAGAAACCCATGTGTGAATGTGTCTTCAAATGTCTGTGCACAGATTAGTCTGATCACAAACACTCAAGCACAAGCATAGGGTAGCTACAGATACAGTAGTGTTACATCTACACTGAGTCTTACTGACCTGTATGCGTCCTTCGGTGTGCTTTTAAATGGGAGCTTTTGGTGTACACCTTATTGCAGCCCTCAAAGTCACATCTGTGGATTCTTCTCTTTTTGGAATCTGGTGACTCTGACCTCCGGGGGCGCCGTATGCTGTCAATACTGAACGGGGACATGGAACTGCAACAGGAGAATCAACATGTTAATATCTTTGATAACTTTGCACCACAAAGTGTGTCCAAAATCTATACTACACGCTAATTCTGACAAAATAAAAGTATAATCAAAACAGTCAGGATGCATATTTAAAAAAATAAAACCCTGGGAAACTGAGGAGCTCCACACAGCTGCAAAAAATAAAAGTCATTTTGGATGTGATGAAACAGCCCAGGAAACAAGACACTATTACATTTTTGGGGGAAACAATGATTGTCTCTGTGTGTTTAGCTGGCAGTGTCATTATAAAATCATAGTTTACTGTAGTCCAGGAGAGTGAAGCTTACTGAAGCATCTCTGATTGATTTCTAATACTGTAAGGTGGTACAATCCCTGCAGAAAAGAGCAGTCATTCTTTTAATTGAAATTGAAGAGTTTTGACATCCCACGATGTAAATATTGTATCATTTCTTGTTAAGCATGTTAATTTCCTGTCTACAGTAAGTAATAACTGCAAACACAGTATACTGCAAGTGTTAATTTTCTCCAGTAACGCACATGCAATTACCATGTAAGGTGGCAGAACAGTGGCCATGCCTGCAGGTGGCAGTGTAAAACCACTGCAGCATGACTGAGGAAGTATGAGGTAAGAAGGCTGGTATTCATATTGCTCACAGACTTTCATCAATCAAACGTGGAAACTATTTTTTTCTCTCAATGTTTTTCAGTGAGGTTAATGACTCCTGAGTTATTTCTACCATCAATATATTTTGTCATGGCATTTCCTCTCCGATAAGTAATCAATATCACTGTTGATTATATAATTTGTCACTGCTAACAGTGAAGCCCTATAGCAAAGTGTGTGTGTGTGTGTGTGTGTGTGTGTGTGTGTGTGTGTGTGTGTGTGTGTGTGTGTGTGTGTGTGTGTGTGTGTGTGCATGCTTTTGCATGCATGTCTGACTTGTTAGTGAGTGTGAGTATTGGAAAGTAGTTTCCCATCTGTGGTGGATCTAAATTTGCTTATGCATAACTTCTGAGACGATAATGCAGTATGTAAACACACAAATAAATCCAGGAAGGAAACAAAGAGAAGGTAGGGTGGTGGTAGATGGTCTCACCAGTGATCGTCATCAACTGTGATACAGCAAGCACCTTTCACACAGCGACAAACACATGACTGTTACACACACACAGACACACACAGCAAATTGGCAAGAAGGAGAAAGATACAGTAGAGACAGAAAACAAGAACATCTCTGTTTACTAGAGGGGAGGAGTAATATCTGTGGGATATATTTAACAGGGCTCTCTCGGCAGTGGAGGAGCACAAATGCTTTTCTTTCAGGTCTCAGAGTCTCTGTTGTGGATATTGAGAAAAAAGGTGAGAGTGTGAAGGGGGAAAGGGGAAGGAGGGAGAGTAGGAGAGGAACTGCTTCAGTTGTGTTAGAGAGATTTGAAAGAGGAGCAGGGTCTGTCAGACAGGGCCTCCAGTGTCCAACTGGAGGCCACTTCCTGTCTCTCTGTCTTTCACCCAAGCATGATTTGTCAAATGCAGACTCTTCTGTGTGTGTGTGTGTGTGTGTGTGTGTGTGTGTGTATACATATACATATATATATATATGTGTGTGTGTGTGTGTGTGTGTGCAATCAAGACACACACACACGGGCTATACAAATACACAGAATTACAGAAAAACACACATACATACAGATCACCTGTTGCTCTTGGCTTACTGCCAATCTGAAGCTGTGCAGGAAATGAGCACACGGGTCAGATATGAAGTGAACTCTAACTCCCCTCTCATTTCTCTCTCTCTCTCTCTCTCTCTCTCTCTCAGTCTCTCGCTCTCTCTCTCTACTGCATGTCTCCAAGTTCAGAAAATATCACACTGCACCGTGATGTCAAAACTCAGCATTAAGACAAAGAAGTGTATTCATGTAGCTGAAGGCAGACTGCGAGTCTTGATTACAAATGATTGATTAGGAGATTACCGGGCCATCTACTAATCTCACGGAGAAATGTAGAAAACCATCTAGAGTCTGAGTGCATGTGTGTGTGTGTGTGTGTGTGTGTTTGTGTTCAGGAAAGTGAAGAAGAGTGGCAGGATTTACAGTGGAAACACTCTGAGTTCAGCCACTGAGCAGATGAGGCGGATGTTTACATTCTGACTTCATCCATGAAGTGACTCCATGATTATGATATAATTTAGGGAGGTCTGCGTACAACAGCTTCTAAAACAAAGACTAAACGACGTCTCATTACTCATTTAACGCAGCTGCTTTTCTCCCACTGTCGATAATTCTGTCGTCATTGCTGCGCCATCTCAAGAGCCCGCTGACAGATTTCTGGTTTCATCTATTGTGTGTGTTCATGTAAATTTAGTTTGTCTCTGATTCCTCCTAGACCACAGACATTGCACACAAGCGCTCTCACCACTGCAACAAAGGTAAACAGTTATAGACTTCAAAATCCACTTAAATGACATTTTAACGATTCCTGTGAGGACATGAGTCACGTAACACATTAAAGAATAAAACAGGCCAAAATAAAGAAGTATAGAAATGAAATAAATAAAATGTAACTTTAAGCTAATGCAAGCTTGTATGAATAAAAGTAGGGCTGAAATAATTACAGAAAATTTATTCCAGACTGTTTTGATCATTTATTAATTGTTAAAGTCACATGCCAAACATTTGCTAGTTTCAGCAAATGTTTTATATCAGGGTAAACTGAAAATCGTAGCCTTTTTTTTTTTTTAATTGTTGGTCTGGTATAATTCAACATATGAAGACATTACTTTAAGTTCTGAGAAACTGTGATAGAGATTTTTCACTATTTACTAACATTAAAGCTTAAAGATGTAGGAATTCATTGAATTCATTGAAAATAATTAGTACTAGCAGTTTCAAGAGTTTCCATGTTGCTGTTGTCGTGTAAAAATATCAGCAGGTTTTTATACAGTAAAAGACCTATGTTCAATTGGTGCATTTAAAAAAAAAAAAAAAAGCAATGCCCAAGTAGGAGTTGAGCCTCAAAGTAAAAAGTAGTCTCATGTATGTATAATTACAACATGGAGAAGTTGTGTTTTACAGATTGTCCTTTTACCGAGGGCTCAGCTGAATAATTCCATCAAATAATGGGACACAAAGTTTGGCAAGGTCAGCAGAAAACAATAAACACAAAGATTTGAGTCCGGCATATTTGTTGGCATAAACAACATATCTTTATCGTAGCTACTGTGTGAGAATTAATGTCTTGTATTTTCTCATGTGAGCCCAGAGGCAGAGTCACACTGCTTTGAACCCTGTGTCAGCGCGGCATCACGGCTGTGTGAATGCGTCTGGTTGTGTCTCCCAGAGCAGCCGAGAGAAATAGGAAGGACAGCTGAGAACGATTTCAAACAGAGCTGACCTCTGTTTTGGTTCCTTCGTTTCCCCTTTTGTTTGCCCCTCTTCATCCACTGCTCTCCGCACATACGACAGAGAGCGAGAGAGACGCAGAGACTGTGTGTGTGTGTGTGTGTGTGTGTGTGTGTGTGTGTGTGTGTGTGTGTATGTGTGTCACCTGTAACGGGGGTTTCCCACAATGCAAACACAATGCATATTTTTTCTAAGTTCTCATAGGAAATGGGGTCAGTTTCAGCGCAGCAACAGCTCTACGCGGTTCTTGAACAGAACTGCAGTAATAGTGGAATGATCAAGAAAACAGGAAAGGGAATGTGTGAGTGCGTGTGACTGTGTGCGTGTGACTGTGTGTGTGTGACTGTGTGTGTGTGGCTGTGTGTGTGCGTGCACTGGAAGACTGCCCACCGGGCATTCCTGTACCTGTCCGAGGATACTACCCCTCACCTCACCCCTCTCCCCTCCCTCCACCTGCTTTGCTCCGTTGCCCCCAGGTCCTTGGGGACAAGCCAGACTTCAACAGAGACAACCCTTCCAACACAAGCCCCTGCCCCCAATACACACACACACACACACACACACACACACACACACCTACACCTTCCTTCCCTTTCCTATCTCCCTCTAACTGTCTTCCTCTCTTTCGTTTGCGCTCTCCCACAATAGCCTATCCACTGGTCCCCAGGGAAACGCATGAATATGGAGGAGGCTGCCCAAGAAGCACATGACACACACACACACACACACACACACACACACACACACACACACACACACACACACACACACACACAAAGACACACACATACACACACACACACACACACACTCTCTCTCTTTCTCTCTCTCTCCCTCTATCTCACTTTCCCCTTTCACTCATTTATTTATATATGGATACCTGGATTGGAGGCTGCAGGCACTCCTGTCCTCCGCCCTTACACTTCTCCTCCCTGATGCTGCCTGGATGACTGCTTGTGTAAATATGGATACTAAATTACATAAAGCAGCTCTTTCTACACTCACAGTGTACATGTTTAAATGAAAAGAAGAGAAATATAGCAACACAATAGAGTGGCATGTTTCAAAGAAGTGCTGTCGGCTTCTGTTGCAGTGCAGATGTCCACTGAGCGCATGTGTTGTGTCAATACAGAATGCACATTCTTCCAGCGTGTAACTCAAGAAGACTACAGACCTCTTTGTTTTTCACAGACAAACATGCAAGTCTGTGTTCCTGTTGACAATGGCTGACCTCCTTCTGGAACCAGCTGTTCTGTCCACTGTGCAGAAACACGTGCATGCATACAGTACAAACACACATACACCGGAGGATTAATACTTACGGACGTGAACACATACTTTTTTCACACACACGCGCGTGCACACACACACGCACTGTCACATACACAGCACGCACACAGGAGCACAGTTTCCACACAGCACAGTCTGCACTTTGCACACAGAGAAGTGAGTGTGTGGGCAGGCCCTGGCAGGGCATTGCTAAGCCTGGCTGGTGATTTATCTCCATAGTGAAAGCTTGGGCAGTGAAAGGTTGGGTCCTGCCAACCTCTGTTCTCCTCTGACCACCCGGTACCCACGTGTGGCACTCAGGGGCACGCCTGTCCCTCTCAATAACCTGCACCGAAACCTGAGTCCTCCTGTGAGTGTCTCTGAGTGTGTATTTGTTTGTGTGTGTGTGTGTGTGTGTGTGTGCCTTCCTTGAAACATGGCAACCTCTGCTTGTACCACTGAACAGGCACAGCCACAGTACTATTTTTTTTTTTACCACAATGTGTTGCACAGTGCCACCACAATAACCTGTTTTGTTGCATTACTGCAGAGGTTCACACAGGCAGCAGTGCACAGGCAAAGAATGCACAATGTCAACCCCGTAAGCTGGAGTGTTACCACCAAAACACAGCCAGCCGGCGTTGGCCTACCGTCAGCCTCAGCCTTGTTAACGTTGCTACATCATTAACAGGATTCTCACAGAGTCCTGGAATAGTTTCCTTACAGATAGTCTAAATAAAAGTCCTATGGGTATTAACTTGAGTCTGGCCAGGCTGCTAGTTATGACTGTTCTGGGTTTATGTGTGGCAAGGCGGGGGGAAGGGCTGGGCCGAGCCAAATGTTTCTCTGCATCTGATTTCCTCCTTCTGATCGGAATACTGTAAGCTGTCATTCACTGGGGAGGGAAGTCTTTTCATTCAACACAGATGGACTGGCACCACAGGAGTTGTGATGTCTGTAGGCCGAGCAGGGCATAAAGTATGTCTGAGCCATATGCAGTCATATAGATGCACACCCACGCAGACACATCCAAACGTGGAAGAGCAGTTAGAAAAGCACATAGAAATTCACAATGCTGGGACTTACACTAGGTTCATATGTAAACACTGCTCTCATCCAGAGTGTAAGGGAAAACATTTCAGACCTCAGTACAGTGGTGTTTAGATTCTTCTGTAGCTAAATGTACCTTACGCTTTTTCACTTTGTGCAGTCACTTTATGCTTTCTCAAACAGTCTGTTCCTCTTTAAAATTAAAATTTTCCATATATTTTAAGACTTTAAATAAATATCACTAGATATGACAAAGACTTGTGACTACAGGAAAAAGTTACTATCAGCAGCCTGGAGTGGAAATAGCTGCATTAAAGAAGATTGCATCAAAATAAATAGAGATTTGCACATATTCTCAGATATTAGAATGTTTTTCTAAAAGAATGAACTTTTACATCTATTAAACTGGTCACAACATTAATATGAGCAGTGATATTTTATGCTCCTTTCATGTTTTTCACGATTTTTTTGTTTTTGTTTATATTTGGTTGGTGAGATACTGCAAAGTGCTGTACAGTATTTATTCTAATAAACAGCTACATGTAACTATGTACTATTTGGGTTAGTCTCCTACACTAGCAATCCTATAACAGTGGACAGTAAGGAGCGTGAGGATCAAAGCCTTCCTGTGACAAGACTGAACAGAAATAACTACTTAAAACACACACACACACACACACACACACACACACACACACACACACACATACACACACACACACACACACACACGTACAGATCATGATACTCACTCTTGTACGGCGCGGGCTATAGACAGCGCAGTGGAGCCGGTCTCATTAACACTGTCCAAGGTCACGTTTGGCAGGTCGTCGTCATCGCTGTCACTTTTGATCTGCCTTGGCGACAGGCCATTGGGGTCTGTGTGTGCTGCGAGGACGGGACACAGACGCAGGAGTCAGACACATGATACTGGAGCCAGCCCTGGAAACTTATAAGGCATATCACATTGTGTGTGTTGGAAAGTGTTTCTAATTGTAATGAGGTAATCGCCTTCATACTTTATGTTGTCAGTTCATTTTTAAAGGAACCATCCTTTAAAGAAGCTCTTGTCATTCAGGTCTGTAATTATTTAATGTGTATATATAGTATGGGTGTTTATAGCTGTGTGTATCTGTGTATCAAGGAGGTCGCCTCAGTGCTGATGTTTTCAGTCAGTAGGGATCAATCAAACAGAATTCTGAACTTGAGGACAGAACAGCCGACCATGACAGTGTACCCAGTGGTTACATATGCACAGAAGAGCAAACAAATAGATACACACACGTGCAGATGCACACAGACACACCCATGCATACACACACAAACACACACACACCCATGCATACACACGCACACATATTCTTCATCAGCCTCCAACCATAGAGATAAGGAGCTGGGTGGAGCATTGTTTGGGCGTTTGTTGTCTCAGAGCAGTGTGTGGGAACATTTGTGCATCTTTTATTGAGTGTGTTTGTGTGTGTGTGTGTCTACTGAATATGTCCAAGTTAAAAGTACATGTGCATGCATGAGTGAGGCTCAGCGGAGCACCGAGTTCTCCGTCCCCCTACATGTGCAACTGACAGAGACTAATATTCATGATAATGACAAACTTCTACATAAAAGGCCTGGAGAGGACACAGAAGTCGAAACCCATCCATTCACTGTTGTATCCTTTTCACAGAACATCCTGATAATTAGCAAGCTATCTTTGCTGAACGTTTGACTGGCCACTACACTATTAAACCATGACCCTCTGTGCCAGTGAGCGCAGGGGTCCCTGTCTCTACATGACAAAGTTACATCTGTTCCACAAGTTGTGACAACTTCTCCCCTGGACAGCTCATTGGAAACATTGCCAGAGCCTGCAGCAACTCTGTCCTCTCTGTCTCCATAGACACACATCCTCAATAACTCAAGAGATGAATGTCAGAAAAGTAAAGACCTGCCGCTGACTACTTGCCAAAGAAAAGTTCCTGGAAATCTACAGTGTGAGATTAAACATTGATTAAGTAATATAATAAATCAATAGAAAGGAAGACAAAATGAATCTCGACAGAGAAACAACACGGTAAGATATTATAATAACTAGTCTTCTTTCTGAAAATGTAATCATCACAAATACTGAATATATTAAGGCATACAGTATTTTCCAGTACTGCAACACCCCAGTCTACTGTAATCCTGGTGCTTTTATAAGCCATCAGGACTTCACCTCCTCTGCCCTCTCAGCCGAGACTGTGGCCATAATGTCCCATAATAAGGGTCTAGAGTTAGCAGCAGACATGGTGTTATTACTTGGAGGGAGTGGGGGTGGGGGGGGGGATAATGCTGCGACTCTGTTGGAGCTTTTGCTTTTAAAGGTCTCTAAATGTTGTTGCAGACTACGACATGCAGAGTGGTCACCAGCTCGCCTACCCTATGGAAAACCTGTAATTAGTCAGAAATGCATTGTGTGTTGGAAAGGGGTATTTTGAGCGAGGGACACAAAGGAGGAGTGGTGGAGAGGTGGGCAGAGCACCGGATTTCTTTCTTTCTCTCCTGTTGTTTCCAGTCAAGCCCTGTTTCCATGGCAACCTCCTGCCGGAGACAGGGAGACAGCAGTGAAAGGAAGGGTACCCGCCCTCTCTTAAAGAGGATGGCCAACCTGTGTGTGTGTGTGTGTGTGTGTGTGCGTGTGCATGTGGGAGAGTGGATGAGTGTGTGTACATGCAAGTGTGTGTGCATGCAAGTGTTCTTGTATCTATGTTGAGAGCTTCAATAATCACATTCAACTTCACACTGGCAGAAAGGGCTTTAGTGTGTGACTCCCCTGATGTCAACAACTTATTTGTTCTGCCATCAACCAACAGTGACACCTGACAGGGAAAACTCCAGATAAGGCAAGACCAAAAGAAAAATCAACGTATATCCGAAATGAAATATAATGTGATGTTTTGTAGCACTACATTGTTTTTAATTGACTGTGGGAAAACACATTAAGTTCAAGTAATAGCTAAATGTTCTGTTTGCTGTCTCAGTAAAAGTGACCATCCACCACACCCAACATTTTATTCTCATTCACCCCATTTCCTTTGTGTTTGGAGCCTTCAGAGCTGGGCACTGCTAACGGTGGACTGTGCATATGTGAGTGCATGTGTTTGTGGAAGTGCCACCCATCTTCAATATCCATCCACACCCTCTTATGCAAGTCTTGTTTTTCCTGTCCTTCCTTCTTTCCTCTCCTCTCCTCTGGAGCAGACATCCAGCACTTAAAACGCCCATCTCTGAGGACCACCCCACCCAGTCAGCCAAGTGTCTGTCTGAGCACATGCTCTAATTACACATCTGTTTGTTTGCTTGCATGTACAGTGCATGCACGGGTGTGACTTAAAAGTCCAAGTGTGTTTGTCCATCCTGCAGGGAGTGACGAGGAGCAACCTCTTTTACAACCAACAGTTGCCCTGTGTACGGCTCAGAGAAACACCTACTGTAGGCTCTCTCACTGTGGTTGGCAATAAAACCACACCCAGTGAGAAAAACCAATAACACTGTCTAGGTTGGGCCAAAGAGGTCTAATACTCACACTGTCTCAGATGTTTGCGTCTCTATAGAGGGAAAGGTAACAAATGGTTACCTGAGCTAGAGGCTATTTAAGACATCCACGCCAAATCTCTGTTGGTAAAAAGATGGGAGTCTGTTAAGCTCATCTTCACTCTAAAGGGGGAAGTATTATTGCCTGAGGGGGTGTATCAGCACAGGACATCTGGACAGACACATATAGCACTATACACAGCTCATCAATGGGATATCTCATGCTACATCACCACTTCTAAATTGCCAAATGACAGCCGGGACCTGTCTGTGTCACCTCTTGTTATGGACTCACTTTATTCCACTTCGTAAAAGGTTCTCAGTTAAAGTTTTGGGGTGTTTCAGCACTCCTTAGCAAGGATATTACTGAAGGGTATTGTCATGGCGGACGACTGATGATTAAAAATATTGAACTATTTTGATTTAAGTGAATAATCTGTGAGATATTAGATTTCTAATTGATATTTTTCAGTAGGTTGAGAAAATGTCTATTAAAGCTGGAGGCTAGAGTTTCTTGAGAGACTTTGATGCAAAGTGAAACTAATGTATTCATGAAGCATTAGGACAAAGACTGAATCATAATGCATTCTCATTTCCTTTACAGATTTAACAGTGTTTCAATAATTACTGGAGAAATGACAGTGTTTCTAACGGAAAATGAGGTTTAATATAAATCCCAAAGAAACAAAGTCAGCCGTATGAATATGTAGTAAATTTGGAGAGCGTGCTCTCACCTTTGCCCTGGCTTTTGACCTCATCCAGCAGAGGTAGCATGATGGCGTTGTTGAGGCTGGAGGGTGATCGAACGGCAGTGGTGTACATGAGGGGCAGTGACTGTACCACAACCGGGATGCGGTGAACATGGCTAGCCAGCTTCCCTGCTCCCTGCAGGCTCAGAGGGCTCGAAGGAGGCGGCGGCACAGAGTGCAGGATGTGCAAATACGGCTGACCTCTCACCCCGGCGCCAGGGGCAACCAGAGGGCCTGGTGTGAGCACCGATGAGGCTGAGGTGATAACTGATGGAGAGGAGGAGGAGGAGGAGGAGGATGACGACGATAGAGAAGACGGGGAGAAGGCGGATCTGAGAGGGGATGATGATGAGGTCGTGGTGGTGGGGATGGTGGATGAAGAGGAAGGGCGGGGTTTGTTGATTGACAGGTCGACAGGCTCGGTCTGTGTGTGGAAGTGCAGGTCGTGAGCGAGCAGGTCTTCTGGGGGTTCGGGTTTAACTCTACTGAGGAAGAAGGGGACGTCCATCGCAGAATAAGGGCGCACTTTAGGCGACTGCGGGAGGAAAAAAACAAAACAATGATGTTAGATTTTCCTGATCATCACTGATCACTTTTGTCATTTTAATGTCTTACAATTACACAAACCTGCGACTCACAACAGGGAAGAAAAAAATAAGTCACACAATTTGCTTACAAGTGATGTATTTATGGCATTAAATTTCACATTTCCACTAATGTTCTGCAATAATCTGAACTGTCTCATTAACCAAAAAGTAAGGACAGTTGTTTCTGTATAAATGATCACATTCAGAAACAACAAGACTGCATGATAGAGATGTGTCAGAAAGGTATATGTAGTGAAAATTATACAGAAAGGACCAGTTAATTTCCTCATGTTCATTCAAGCATTCAACTCCTCCCGTGAAGTCCCCATGGTTAGCATGATGTCATTCGCAGATGAAATACAGAAGTAAAGATAGTGTCTCTCACACTCGCCTCCTTTCACTCTCTCTCTCTCTCTCTCTCTCTCTCTGTCTTTTTCTTGGCGTGGGTTGCTCTCTCTCTCTTTTCCTCCTGTTTTCCATCACTCCCACAGAAACGCAGCTCTCTTGGCTCCTCTTGTATCTCTCCTAAATCTCCTTTGTGACGGTGGAAAAACATCATATGGGCTCAATTTCCTGACCGTCTCTCTCTGTCTCTCAGCGATGGGCCTCCTAAGGCCAACGCTGGTGGCTCGGTGTATCCCTCAACATATCTTTCACTTAACACCAAGCAGACTGTAACACAACCGCTCCATCTGTCTGCACAAGTTTCAGGAACCTGTTTACTCGGAAAAGATAATGGAGAACATACAAAGCAAGAAAAACGACACTCACCCTGCTACTATTTGTTCCTCCTGACTCCCAAACTTTGGACACACTTTGATATCACAGTCTTTTGTTTTAATGTCAAATTAAGCACGTTACATGTGATGTAGCTGATCTACACTCACTATGTTTGATGTGGGAGGGGTGCTAGAGTGTGTGGCAAGTGGTGTTGATCCTCCCAGTGGAGTCTCTCAGAGGCTGACTCACAGTTAAGGCCATCAGCGAGTGAGCATATCCAGGATTCTTACTAATCGTACAGGAAAAGCTCATTAAAGTTAAAGGAAAAACTCGGCTGCAGGAGAAATGAGAAATGTTCTGTACTGTGGATTTCTCGTCCTCACTTTTGTTTTTCAGACTCACATTTCTTTCCCCTTATGTAATGCTGGCTGAGAGTGGATCTGCGGTGTATTACGAATTTTTGGAGTGGTGTGTGTGTGTGTGTGTGTGTGTGTGTGTGTGTGTGTGTGTGTGTGTGTGTGTGTGTGTGTGTGTGTGTGTGTGTGTTTGTGCATGTTCTTTTATGTAGTAGCCTGCTATTTTTACTCCAGACTTGTATACTCGTTTTCAGCCTACAGGAAATGTTACGACCCCATGAATCAAAAAGTGCTTCTCCCTGTGTAACTCCTCCTCAGTTTGAAAACAAACCCTACCCCATGAAATATGCCCTCTGATGACCTCTGGACCTCGGTGGAGTTCAGCTCAGGGTCAGTGGTGTCAGGTCAAGGTTCACAGCACATTATGGTCTGCTTAATAATACCACCCACCAAACACTTTCAGTAGGGTCTCTACAGGAATTTATGTATAAAATTATACTTTGGGGGAAAAAACAATACAAACATTTTATTGATTAATGCTTTTTTTCTATATTGTGAGGATACAAGCAGCCTTAGGTATCACATCTGTAATAAGCTCAACACCAGTCTTTGTGAAAACTGGGTAAGATGATCCTTTAGGTTGTCCTGTGATGTAGAAATCATCACACCTCCTTCATGGAAACTCATTGTAGAACAGTTCAGTCAGAGACACTTCCCTCAAGGAATTGACCATTTATAGCAAACAGTTATACAGTTATATTTGGCGGAAGAGACACTGCCTTTTTAAGGGAGCTCTCAAAGAATCGGAGGAGTAATAACGGTTCTGCTGGGTGAACTAATCCACCTTAATAAACATATACATACACGGTTGTTAGATACACCAATCAGCCCCAATATTAAAACCAGTTGCCGGTTTTAATGTCGCAGGGTTGATTGATGTATAGTAAAGTCAAGCAAAAGCTTCAAGAGGAGATGTTTGAGGTGGTGGAAATGGCACAGGGGAATCAGTTGAATTTAGTGAGAGTTGTCGGGTTATTAGTTGTTATGTTATATATGCAGGTGTCAGTGTTTACAACTTTGATGAGAGGATGAAGCGGAACTATCGCGTTGTCACGGAAAGAGGAAAAAGACGCACCATGAGAGTGAATTGTGGGAACAGCAGTCAGGTAAACTTGTTCTTTCCTCTCCAAGTTTGATGTCAGCAAATAACAGTAGCTATCGTTAAGTGCTAGCTTGCAGTGCATCTGTCTCTGTCTGTTTCTGACCGAGCTGGGCGGGGCGTCTCTCGGTCTGTCTGTGCTGTGTTCTGTGACTTTATGTCTTGACCAAAGTGAGAGCAAAATACAACTATTTATTACGTTTGATAAACGCCAACTGGCAACAGTGTTTATAAACTGCAGCTCGGAAAGGATTACGTGTCGCGCATGAACCAGTGACCATATGTGTGCGCAGCAAATGAAACGCACCCTCTGTATGGAGCGGTTCAGGCAATATATGGTGCACATAATTTTAAAAATAATTATGTAGTCTCTTTGTCGGTTTTATTACAACTCTGGACTAATGCAGGATGGAAAGCAATGGAATGACATTGACTATTGATTCAATATTGAATTTAAATGTTGATTAACTGGGCGTGCTGGGCAATATGGATGCACATCTCTCAGTTAATAATAACCATCAATTATTCAGCCACAGCATAAACAGTGTTTTATATTTGAAATGAGTAAATCTGGAGGAGGCCATTTGAATGAATGAATGGGCGTGATGTAGCTGAATAGCTAATTAATAATAAAGCTGCAGCCATAGCCTATAGGCTTATGTTTAAGTTTTATAGCCAAAACTAATTGTATCATATTGTCGAACACTGGACTAATTACCAGGCAGCTGAGCCAAAGCTCTTTGTTATATTTCATTATTTTCTACATTTCATATTGATAATATTGTATCCACTTATCTTACAGTTCTATTGAAAATATTCAATTCCATAAATATTATATGTTTATATCTCATTCTGTTACGTGTAGGTCTACGCATTCTTAGACTGACAGATGGAGCAAGCAGTTTTAAAGGAGAGAGGATTGTGGTGAGAGCACTGGGGTGTCAGGTGTGACACTGTGGCAAAAATCCGTGTAAGCCTACTTTTTTTCCACACAGAAAATGGATCAGAAATCATTACAGGAATTGATGAAGAATCGGCCCAATAAGCAGAATCGATAATGGCGTTGGTATCAATAAAATCTTCTCAACTCCCATCCCTACTGTACCTGAATGAATATGATTGGATTCTACTCATCAGCTGATGGCCAAACAGCTGATGCTGGCTCTACTTTATTGCTCTGGCTGAACTAACGCAACACTCCACTTTTGAGTTTCTGCACTCATAAAGCTAACAACGTGTCTACACAGGAGGCGTAGCGTGAACAGCGTGTCAGCAGAGTAACTTCACCGCTCCGTCTGTACCTACACAGCATGCGTTCAGGCACTTATTGAGTGCATGTCACAGAATCTCATACACAATCACTGTACGCGTGTAAAACTGAAGAAAATAGTCTTGAAGCGTAAAAAGACTCTTACATGCATATAGCACAAGTGAAACGCGAGCCATTACCATAATTACGCAGCCTGTGTAAACAGCTGGATTGATTAAAACAGAAGCATATCTGGTCCATCAGACATATGTGAGACACACAAGTGAAAAATGCAGTTAAAATACTTTCTGTGTAGACGCTGAGTAATGCAGCCTTGGGGTGACTCACTGTTGACCCTCCTCTGTAGAAGATTTCAGATTTAACCCAAAGATAGGTTGGTTGACTGGACTATGTAGGTTCTCAACTGATTTTGTCCCTGGTCATCTAATGGCGACCTTAAGAACAGTTCAAAGAAATATCACTTAATTGTCAAAGTGTGTTTGTCATATGAAACGTCCTCTGTGCTTCTCTTGCATTTACTGATGATGTAGCCTTTCTTGACAGAGCCTCAAGCAATCCTCCAGCTGCTTTTGCATGTGATCTCTCTGTGTTTACATGCTGTGTATAGGATGTGAGTGTCACAGACTGCCTGGAGCTATACTGCCTGAAGGCTTTGAAGCCATTAGCTCCATTGAGGCTGATATCAGTGTTTTGGAAATCTTAGCTTCCTCAGTGAGGGCCCTTGGAGTGTGTTGGCTGCTAGAGTTCTGCACTTGCCACTAAATCTATATATACAGATTACTACAGATTTAAGCAGTTTTTTTTTTTTAATCTATGATTTATTCATTGCTAGGACCTGCTTTGATAAAAGACACTTGGGGAAATGTTACGTGTGGCATGTGATTATACTGAGGCTAATGGCTACAAAGGACAGACATTGTTAGCTTTTGTACTTGTGAGCACCTGACCTCTTTGGTTATGGTATAATCGATGTAACAAAAAGCAGAATATATCCTCAAGTGGCATTCTCCTTCGAATGTAGGTGAAAGCAATAAAGACACCAACATTCAACAAGTCATATTCCTTGTTGCTTAAACTGAACTCTAAAAAGCAGTTACTTTGACAGTTAGTTGAGCAGAAGACATCAAACATATCCTGTAGTAATGCACTGTTACTCATGCGATAAACTTCTAAAATGTGTAACTGTGACTTGATTAAAGAAGGTAGCACAAGAGGACTCCTAAGTTAGCAAATTGAACCAATAACAGCAGTATCAAGCTAACTTGGTCATATCCAAAAGAGCTGTCATGTTATATTCAAATTTTTAGCTACAATTCAAAAGGTGGAACATTTTTATTTAAAATCTGACCTGTAATGATCTGCTTCAATTCAAAATTCATCTTTCTGTACTCCAGGTGTCTCTGACCCGTTGCATGTCCTGTGCTGAATGGTTAATCAAGACATCAAACCATTTGGGAAGTAATGTGAGGAAGCATTTTCCACTTTTCATCTGTATAAAAAAAGAATGTGTAGAATGTGTTGTCTCTTTATTCACAAGTGTTAGGCTCATTTTCATGGTAACACCATAATCATGGCAGTTAGGGATAATGTCAGTTACAAGGAACTTTGATCAATCCTCTGAGTAAAAAAAAAAAAGGGAACACTTGTGTGGAAAGGTCAAAACAACACTGCAGGTTGTTACACAAAAGTAAAAAACAGAAACGCATTTGCATTTTGGGGTTAGGTTCAAACAGATCTCAGCCAGCACAAATGGAAAACTAAAGCCACCCCCACTTTCATTTTGACAGATCCAAACACACGTATGCACTCAAACCTACACATACTCACACACACTGACACACATATAAAGATATGCTCGACCCGCCTGCCTGCCTGCCTCTGTCCTCATGCCATTGTCTTTATTAGGGGATACTGGTTAGCGGGGCAGATTTTCCAGGCCCTTGCGGGCGAATTGTCTAACGAGGCAGACCATTTCCAGCAAGCCCTTGGCCCCCCGCCACCCAAATGAAGACCACATTTCTGCAGCAGCCTAAACTGTCTGTCTGCATCTGCCATCTAAAGGGAAGCTCAGTCTGTTAGGGCAAGATTGGATCTCAGTGCACTTCAAAGCTGTGTGGGCTGCAGCGCTTACATCCTGTCTGTGACTGACATCACTGCACGTATGGAGAATGACTTCAAAACCCCAGGTATTAGGTAGCAGTGCAAGAGCTCAGCTCTCAAACCCTGGAGCCAAAGATGAGAACAGGACACCCAGAAAGTAACCACCTGCTGCCTCCCTGTCAAGTCCTTAGATATGGAGAGACAGAGTTGGTTCTTATCAACACACAGCACCTCCACAGCCAAACAATTCTCTACAAGACCTGAGATAACCTGATGGGTTATCAGCAGTCGGTAATTTTCTCATCCATCACGGCCTAACGTTTGTCTCAACAGAAACTACTTTGCTCTTCTCCTACCAAGTGCTCTTGGTGATATATTACGGGTCAAGATATTATTGATATGTTATGAATGGAAATCAATAATAACGGAACACTAATTCATCATGATTACAAATATTAAGTGGCCTGCACCCACTGCACACACAGCTGTGGCTGCAACACAAAGCCCTGGTTACCTAGCAACAGCTTCACCATAACAAGACCACTTTATTTCTAGGTATGTTGGACCAGAGAGCGCTGATACTGTATGTGGGCCATGAAACCCTGCATGAGGTAACTCAATTATACCCAACATGGTCAGTACACACAGTTTAATTGAACAATAAACCCAAAAATAATGACAGTGATAGTGTTTACAGAGAATGAGTACACCGTGGTGTGTTGTGTTTGTGTGTGTGTATTGGCATACGTGTACTAAAGAGAGATGAATCATGTATGTTTGTGAGAAAGATGGAGGATGGGAGGATGAAGGGAAACTGAGAGACATAAAGGAGCAGGAACAGACAGAGATAGATAAGATTTAGAGGTTCCCATGTGACCCTCCTCCCCGGAGCAGTGACTACATCTGCACAATCACCCCCAGCCAGCACAGACTCTCCGCTGGCCCCAGTCACCTCCCCGAAACTCCCCCAATGCATTCCTGCTCCAGCTGTGGCTCTCCTCCTCTTCTCGGTTCTTCTCCTCTTCCTGCTTACTACCATGCTCTCCGACCACTCCTCTTAGCCCCCACACTCACTCACTCTCTCACTCACTTGCTTAAGCCTGGGAGTGATTATCGGCCCCTTCGCCGGGAGGAGGAAAGAAGGAAAGGAAAGCAGGAGGAAAAAAGGGAATTGTCTGGAAAACAACTGCTCTCTTACCCCTTGTTCCGATTCCAGGGGCTCAGCTTTGACTCGGACTGCAGGCATTCCGTCAAGCATTAACATCCTGTTTCTGAGGCTGCCTGTGAAGGGACACAGAGGAGGTGTAAGACGGGTGTTTTTAGCATGACTAAGCAGGTCCCACACTCAGCTATTCACACATGGACATCTACAATGTTGTGCTCGCACCCACTGAGAAATAAACACATTTTAAATAGACACAAATTAATGTTTCAAAACCATCAGAAGCTGCAGGACAAGAGATGAGCGCAAACTGTATAAACTCAGAAAGTGCACAGCATGACTCCCTCTTCTCCATAACAAAGATTTTCAATTGCCTGGTGGGCTGCTGTGGAGCTAATAACACTTCATAACATGGAATAAAATCCTCTTAAGGCTTCAATGGAATACAAACACTTGCTTTGATATGCAGTTACTCAACAGCAATGGCAGCAGCGCAGCCGCACAGACTTTCATCTCGAACCACTGATTAAAAAAATATATATATATATAATTGAGTGAAATTTTGACATTTGACAAATAATTACTCATGATGATATATGTAATATTGACACCACATTATGGCACTTGCATACAACACACAAACACACACACACACGCACACACAATATCACACTTCTTAGTACATCTCTATGTCCATCCTTCCCTGTGCTGTCTCTGAGCACTGCGCCTCTGTGAAGTGGGCAGCAGTGCCCGGCTGCTCAGCTCCGTGCTGTGGCTTTAAGAGGGATACTCAGATGGAGCCAATGACAACAATGCATGTTCCGTATCCCTCAGCTGGGGCCGACCTGAGGTAACCCTCCCTCTTATTATTTTAGCAGCAGTACATGGAGGAATGCAAGCAAGGCAAATAGACTCTAAACATCTCTATTACTCTCCACTGTTGGCATCAGCAGCTGGATAGTGTGGCCCAATCCTTGAAGTCAGCAGTGCCGCGGCATCGTGATTTAAAAAAAAATTTTTTTTTAAATAGTTCGGACAATCATGAATGACATGTATTCTCTCTATGCAGCTGGTAGCCTGAACATCTAACTGCACCAAACATCTAAGATCTCAAACATCTAAGTTTTTGTACTCACCCGAAAATCCACTCAAAATAGTTACCAAAAAACATTTCTTTTTTTCTGTCTTTTTTTTTTTCTTTTTCTTTATAAATTTCATTCAAAATTGCCACACCAGAATCACTAAATGCCAAGTATTGTTCCACTACCTCTTGGATTCTCAGGGAAAAGCTAATCCTGACTGTGTTTGTGTGCGAGGGAGGCAGAGAAAGAAGGAGGATTTACTCAGTCTGCAACCCCCCCAGATCTCGCCTCTCAGGTCTAAGTCCCTCAGGTACCCTGGCTGTGCTGCTATTGTATTGTTGTCCAGGATGTCCTTCGGCTTCAGGTCTTGGTAGGCCCAGATAGCGTTGCCATAGTAACGCCTGGGCGGGTGGAGCTGCAGCCTCAGTCCAGCCTCAAGCCATGTGTTGAGGAGAGGAAGAGAGACGAGTGCACTAAGAGAGGCTGAAAGTGAGGTTTGTTTTACTCCAGATGACCATCATTCTGGTGGAGACATTTTCTCTTCCTCAGAGAGAAAAAAAAAAAAAAACACTTCAGATAAAATCTAAAATTTTCCCATTTTCCCATTTTCCCATGAGGTAAATTTCATTTTTTAGAAAGAGGTTCTTTTTTTGGGCCTCAAAAAAAAATCTATCATCCAAACTTATTTGTTCTCTTTGTTAAATTGCACACTATTCCTACTGGAAAATAAAAGTCAAAACACCTTTGAAATTTTGCCCAGCATGCCACAGAAAGATATGCAAAAGCAACAACCTCTCCCCATGTGCCTCCAGTCCAGTTAATCCAGTGGTGTGCCTAATGAACTGGCCTGCAGCAAGCTATTCATAGGAAATCAATGGCAAGGCACCTCTACTTGTGACTGTAACAGCTAACAGCAGTGAGGGAGACCTAACACTGAGTAATGAGCTAACAGAGGGGCGCTGTGTATTGAGGAGTTCGTGTCGAAATACTTTGATTGAAGCCGACTGTCAACTGCTTTTTGCTCCCACGAAAAGGATTGTGTCCGCCAGTGAGAACTTGAGGATCACAAGCCGGAAAAAGATTAAAAATAAGAACAAAGATTGTGTTTGAAATGAAGAGAATTTGTTCAAGGTAATAAACCAATGTGTATCCAGTCCTTCTCTATCACTAAATTTGGTGTGCTGGCGGCAGGCTGAGGCAACCAGCAGTGTGCTGTCCATCAGCGGTATGAGGCTCTGTGTGTGGGAGATGGAGAGAGGGAGGGGGATTAGAGGGAAACAGGGTAGATTAAGATCACCTTTCCATTTGCTGCACTCTGAAATGAAATGGCCATCCCAGGTGTGTGGGGGAGTTGGATGGAGAGGAGGGCAGTGGAGTGTTGAGGCATCTCATTTTTCCCTCCTACCCGCCCTCTCCTCACACACCCCCCACCCACCTACCCCACCCCCACCCCACCCCCTCAAAAAATAAAAAAATAAAAAAAAAGGTAAAGGGAGCAGGTGAAGATTGAGGGCAGTTCCAGCAGCGGAAAAGCTTGAAATAAACATATTCCAGTGTCTGCTGCTCTCTTCGCTTCTCTGTTTATGCTCATTTGTGTCCCTGTTAATGCAAGTACGAAATGAAACTCCCACCACATATCCACATCTATGACCTCAGGTCCACTATCTCGCCGCTCGCTGATGGCTATCGGCTCTGTGCTGACTGACTGAGGCGATAGCAGCCAGGCAGAGTGAAAGGCTAAAGCTCAGCCAAAACGACCCCTGAACAGACTAGCTGGATCAATTAGAGGTGACGAACTTCCCCAGACAACCTCTGACCTTCTGAGACCAGATGCTGACCTCATATAGCAGTGACATCATCCACTCATATACACATGTGCAGATGTTTTCACACGCACAACATGAACATGAAGCCCCACAGGATGACTCCCGGGGGTTCGATTCATGACTTCATGCCTTATTCACATTATGAATCAAATGAAGATGGATTCTCTTTAGGCAATTATTCATTGTTAATCGCTGAGCTTTAAACAGGAAGTACTTTTATTGGACAAAAGCTCAAAAGGTGTGCGTTGGTTGAGTGGGTGGTGTAAATCACCGCAAGTTCATGTTCTCCCAGTACATGCGAGTGTGAAGACAGATCCTGCCGGATACTATCTCTGGATGTTCACTCACACAGCAACCAAACACATTTTTTATTAAGGAGAAAGTTAAGCTTAAACAAACTCATGAAAGCACTTTTAGTATCTGGCTGTGTTTACTCTCCTCTGCATCCTCTCTCATCTCTATCTCTCTATCTCTCTTTCATACATGCACACACACACACACACACACACACACACACACACACACACACACACACAACACCACGCACCCTGAAACACACTACAACAGACGGGCCCCGCCAATGCTTTGTTCCCATGTTGAGCGCCCAGAGCAACTGGGTGCATCTGTGTCACAGAGGCTGGACCTGCTGCCACGGTCTGGGATGGAAGAGGGATGGAAAAGGATTGGGGGGGTGGGGGCGGGTGTGGGAGGGGTGCAATGAATTATTGTAGACACATGAGTAAGGATTAAGGAAGGTGATAGTAAGAGAAGTGAGTAAGGGTGGGGGCTTGTTGAAGAGCACAGAGCTGCTGGCAGGAGTGGTGGTTAGGGAAGCAACCAAGGGGAGTTGAAGAGGTTGGGTGGGGTGGGGGGTGTGTGTGTGTGGGGGGGTGTTTAGTCGGGGAGGAGGAGGGGCGGTAGTCAGAGAAGCGAGAGAGGGTAGAGAGGGGATATGGACCTGAGCCAAGGCCCGGTCGAGCGCAAAGCACACGGTGCAAGAATGCCAACAGCCCCCCTCCCACCCGGTCCTCCACCAAAGAGAGGAGAGAAAGAAAAAGGGGAAAGCAGGAGAGGGGAAACTGCGAGGAAAAAACATTTCTAATGTTGCAAAATCACAAACAAATGGTTAACTAGAGCTACAAGTGCAAATGCATAAAAAGCACAGCGCTGTAGGTGATGTGAGATGAGCGCTTCCTGTGTTTTGCCTGTATTGTGCACCGCTGGCCTCTTTGCCACAGCTCACTTCCCTCTTCTGTGCCCCTGGACACCCCAATGTGACACACTGGCCTGATAACAAGCACACATCTACTAGCTCACCAGCAAACTCCTCCACTTCCTCTCTTTTGAGACACTCAGTGCAACTTTTAGAAAAGTAGTGAAAGCTGAGGACGCTTGCAGCATGCTCATTAGACAGGTAACAAAGAAAACATTAGAAAAAGAGAAGTAGCTGAGCAACACTTTTCTAGACCCTGGAAAACAAAGGGCTAATATATGCTTTTTAAAAAAAAACATATTTATCTTGTTTGCTCGCAGTGCAGACACAATAGTGCCACAATTGAATCACAGCTGATTTCAATCTCAACCTCAGTCTGCTTCATGTTAGGCTGTGTCTGTTCGTGACCTCATCTTATTGGCCTCATTCTGTTCTTGAGAATCATTCAAATGCTTCCCTGCAGAGTTACTACTTAAAGAGTAACTGCACCCAGCCAAATAACAGCGCCTGGTGTGGTCAAAGGTTCAACAGACTGAAACCTTCAACCCACAGAGGTGAGTGCTGCTCTACAAGGGCAAAACACAGACACATCATATTTAGTCAAAACCAGAGTCAGATTTTTTGACGTGGTGTCAGTTTTTCTGAAATGTTTCCTGAAATTGAAAAATCTATTTTGTTGCTCAACATTAGTTAATTCGTAAAACAAGTTAAACTAGTCCGGCTAAAAGCTGCTTAACTCAGAAGCCTTTTGGCTTGTCCAAACATAAGATAATCCAAACATAGAGTGATCATTATCTTCAAAAGCAATAAGGTTTAACACCTTAAATAGCTAAGAAGTCTTCAAACATTAAATTCTAAATTTCACAGTTTGTAGCTTCTGATGTCTGCCTTTGTCTTATCCACACAAGATCTGACGTAGAGTTCCTCTTAAAGCAGATCAAATGGTAAACTTCAGAAATGGCTGACTTAAGCCCCCCCACAGTGTGTCTTCCTCCTCT